TATAAAATTTTTAAATATTTTTATTTTTTTATATTGATTTTTTTAACACTGCATCAGTGGAAAAGGTGTAGTATACTCAGTGTTAGACACAGTTAGTAGAAGAGGGTTTGAGAGGAAGGGAGCTGTTACTTACCACCCTAACCCATGAGATTTCAGATCAGATATGAGATTATAGTTGGTCCTCTTGTTTTGCTAATAAACTCAGATGATACATGGAGGTTGGCAGGATTATAGTCAAAAGGGATTATTGAGATTCAAGAGAGAAGCATTAGCATGCTTATGGAAACTTCAAAATTAACAGAAATTCAAATAATGATTTTTAAAACAGTGGTGATACTCATTACTGACTACTTGGAAGCACTTTAAAACAAGTTTCATTCTCATCAGAACTCACCTGGCGTAGAATATCCCCATATGCTGGGTTTTATATATTGTATATTCAACCTTTGACCAAGATTTGAATTCACAGGCCTTGCATTATTATTTAGATCTATCTTTGACCTGTCAGCAGCTTATAAGAAGGGCAGTCTATAAATGCTATGAATGATACACATTCCTTTTTTGTTTGTTTGCAGTCTCAGACTAGAAAGCTAAGGTGTTAACTTGACAGGGCCTCATGCCCTGTTAAGTTAACTTTGTATTACAGTACTGTATAGTAGTTATATTTACTACTGACCACTAGGAGGCACTATACAACCAGTTTTCTTCTTGTTGGAACTCATCAGGCATAAGTAGCCCCCCATATGTTGGGTATTATATAATTTATGTTCAATCCTTTACCAGGATTTGAAATCACAGGCTTTGCACAGTTTTTCAAAAAAACAAAAACCCTAACAGGAAAAACATTAATATAAATCTGTCTGTGGAAGACTTTGCAGGCTCAGCACCAACCAAATATGGCTACTGTATCAGTTGCAAAATGAGAAAGGAAAACAGGTAAGGATGGAGTGAATTATCCTCAAGGAGGGAATGGCTGCTGACAAGCTGAAACCCTGAATAGGAGCACTATTTCTGCAGGTCCCTCTTACTAATTCTATGTATGTGTGGTCAACATGAGTTTCTAAGCTTTTATAAAATAATTGTTAAACTACCATGGATATGAATAATACTCATAGGGCAAACCCATACACAAATGAGCCCTAATCAAACAGTAGTCATGAAAAACAGTAATATACCAACTATTGATCCTGAATGAAGACATGAAACTAAACTTCTGGATAATTCACTGTGGTTCAACTTAATAATTGAGCTGCAGAATAGTACAGATGTGTATCTGTACTCACGGTAATTATGTTACCATGTTCATGAATCACCACATGGACTCCCAATATTATTAGTCTGTTCAGATAGCTGTTTAGGTGCCCACCTAGCCTCCTACCCCACTTGACTTCTAAAATATTTTTAGATCTTTAAAATTATTTTTAAGGAGTCTGATATACTGCATGTTTAAAAATGCATTTGAGCCCACAGAGGCCAATTAGGCATTCTTAGAAGAAAGAAATGGTGGGTAGCTGCGGCATTATATTTTATTTGGAAATATATCCACTTAAACAGAAGGCTGTTTGAGTGAGGAAGAGTTGATCAACCCCTCTGTCACACCCCAGCTCTCAGTCACAGAATATTGGCTTTTCTCACTGAAAGGAGCAAATGCAAATACACTTTTTTTTCCCACTTACAGCTTGGGTGTGAGCTGTAGTATTGATTTTGAAAACTTTATATATTAGCATCATCTGGTTTTAACTTGAACTGTTTTTTGATATTTGCTATTGCGCTATGATAGGTATTTCTATGCTTTGTCAAGAGGAGAGCCTCTTCCTGTGAAAGACCGTGTTGAAATGCCAGTAGCCACACAGAAAAATGACACTGGTTTGACTCCTGGCCTTCTTAAAATTTTGCATAAACAGGTAAAAAAAAATTTTAACAGTTGAAATCTAGAATAATACTATTGATTTTTAAATGACTTATGCTGCCTAAAATGATTTTTCTTTTAACTACTTAATTTCCAATTTTGTTCTCTTGCATTTTCTTTATGATATATATCTTTTTACAGCTGTCTGAAAAGAAAATTGTGGATTTACAAGATCTCCAGAAAAAGTGGAAGAATTTGTGCTTACCAATGGAACAACTGTGCAATCTTCTTCGATTAGACAACTTCGTAGATGGAGTAGAATGGATGAAGTTTTTTGCCCTTGGCTGTAGTGCTCTTGGCGGAGTACGTAAGAAGTCAAGCCTTTCTTATATAGAATTGTTGTTCTATTGAAATGAATAGTAGAGATGTTTAAAAATAAATTTTTAATTTTATTTTTATTTTGGTTAAATGCATAAGGATAACAATGAGAAAACTTTTAAAAACAGTTTGGGGTTCAAAAGATAGGACCCATGATGTATACAATATTAATAGGCTATAATTAGGCTTGTTTGCATCATTTAAAACACAGAAAATTATAAGTGCATTATGTACACATATGAGTGCTTGCAAATATATATATGGATAGAATTTCGAAAAAAAGTTTGAAATTGATTTAACTCTTTGTTTTGACAAATTTACTTTTTCAAAACTTGGGCAATGCAGTTATAGATTCAGAATTATTTCATCATTTAAATTTTCATCCTTCAGAGTGTCAGTTACCAAAGTTTATTTTATTATTTAAGCTGCAATATATTATAATTCAAATTCTCTGAATTTCACAATTGAGAGGAATTTAATGGAAACCCACTTTGAAGTGCTAACTAATATAGTGCTACCACTGAATGATTCCTGTTCAGTAGCATTTGGCAGTATTTTCTACTGAATATTTTACTGATTTTCATTTTGACTGATAATGAGGTTTGAAAATTTATTTGTATGAATAAATTTGTATGTCTTTGCCACCCCAATCATATAATTACTGGCGGCTTATAACAATTAAAACATAAAGCCATAAAACATGTTTGCAACAAATGAATAAAATTAATAAATACACCCAGCCAATAAAATAAAATAAAATAATAGCCACCCCCAAGAGATCAAGATCCAAAAGCCTGATGGAAGAGAATCATTCTAAATTCCCTCCTAAATGTCAGCATGTTTTCTATTGGTGAATTATGGAGTACTGACCTCATGAAGAGGTAAGGAAAAGTACATAAACCCCATATGAAGTGTTATGTATGCCAACACATTTTTTCTGCTGTAACCATGATGAGAAATTACTATCAGTTCTGGCTTCCTTACTAGCCATATGTGCAGTCATCATGCATTACAACCTCCAGATGATTTGCATACTTTTCAGTGAGAAATGCATGATGTTTGAAGTGGCCTTCCTGGATATGATATATAATCTTTCTCAATTCATTTTTTTAAGGATGTAACTGGAATGGAAACTGAAATAAAAGCAGGTTTCATTCTGTGTGTATTTATAATTAAAGAACTGTGCTACCTTTCCACATTTGCTGTCCTGGTGGTTTTTTACTGACCATTTCTTTTGCTGTACATTTCTGTGGAGAGAGGCTATGAATCTAATTAAATACATGTATTAGAATAACTACTAGTGAATCTCAGCAGCTGCCTTGTGTTCTAATATATACTTATTTTGCTTATTGTTTTGGCTTTTCTTAGTCCCTGCTCAGTTCAATGAAGCATGCCTGTGAAATTCTGACAAATGATCCAGAAGGTGGAGCAGCCCGTATTCCGTATGACACTTTTGAATTTCTCTATTCCTACTTGGCTAGCTTAGATGATGAAATAACAGAGGAAGTAACCAACTCTTTTCTCAAGGCTCTTAAAGATCAAGTGTAAGTATTAATAGGTATATGAAACTTGTGCTCCCTACCCCACTAAATGGGATAGCAGCTCTTCACCTCCTCTTGCCTCACCCCAAAAGCCCCAGAACCTTTAGATCATCAGAGACCTCAAGGAAGTCTGTGAGATACCAGATTGGGTTGAGTGCTTCACTTACCCTCCTTTCCTGCATCTCCAAAGGGCCCTATAATCCTCAGTTGTGAGAAGTATAGCAGAGAAAGGAGAATCCTACTCTATAAGCTATGCAATTTTTTAAATACAGTTTTCACTTTCCCTTTACAGCACAAATTAGAATGCATCTATATCTATGTTATTACCTTTACCCAGGATTTACAAACCAATTTCATACTATAATTTTTAAACTTTGTGTTTATATACAGATGTAAAACTACGGTATTCCATGGTTGAAGCTGAAAAGTAAAACTAGGGAGATTAATGTGCTTAATGTGACAACCAAAAGAAGAAAATTATTAGCTTGCTGTAGGTCAGGCCTGCACAACTCATCGAGGGGAAAGGGCCACACTGATAAATTAAAAATCCTTGTGAGCCGTGAAAAAATACCTGGAGTGCCATTCAGCTGTTCCACGGCTGGTGGAGCGGTGGAACTGCTGGAGCTGACAACAAGGCTTGGGGGTGCTCAGCAGCATGTATTTTGAGGTGGTGGCAATGGCTGTAAATTTAGTTTTTTTAGAAAACATTGGCGGGCCGCACAAGGTTACTTGGACTGCATGTTGTGCTGGCCTGCTCTAGGTCTTTAACTATAATGCAAAATGAAATAGTTTTCCAAGTCCTAATTTCTATGTAATATTTATTCTACATGTGTTGATTAGAGGAAGGGCTAGTATAGCCATGCTTTTATCCACCTTACATGTACTTTTGTAAATTCTGGATGATACAGTTGTCAGTATAGCTCAGTTTTTAATGTACCTTATTTAAGAACAGATATGATTATATTGCTAGTTCCAGCTTTTGTCTTTGCTTTCCTGCCTCATTTGGGCACCTGGATGTTATAGATGATGGAAATTGAGTTAAGCTACAGATTTGGGGGTTTATCGTGTGATAGAAATTACATTGGTTTTTTTTTACAATATTAAATTTCCTCTTACGTATAAATTGCGTACCTGTGGGAAGAGAGGGATTTAATACAGAATATTGAAAAATAATTATTTTCTCATTCAGGGCACGTAAAGAATATATGATTGGGACTGCAGATTTCACCACTGTAAAAGTGAAGCCTTAAAACAAGAACATTTGAGGGTAATAAATTTTTAGTACATAGCAAAATGTTATGACAAATAGCCTAATAAAATTAAAGTTTTCATTAATATAATCTCCAACATGCTTTTATGTTTGTTTTATGTATATATAATTTTTATTAAGAACTTTAAACAGAAGATAAAAACTAACAAGGACTAATACAAAGTAAAAAGAAAAGAGAAAGAAGAACAAAGAAAAAGTCAAAAGTGCAAAAGGAAAAAATAGAAATAGAAAGATGTTGCTTCTGATTTCCTTTATAGCAAGTATAATTACAAATAAAAAATTACCTCTTACTGGATGGTTTCTAAAACAAACTTTTTTCTATCATCTATTTTTTTTTCTAATCATCAAACCCACAAATCACTCGTTCGTTTTTTTCTGTTTCCCGCAAATAGTCTATAAGTACCTTGTACATTCTAGACAATTTCTCTGGTGACATATACCAACGATACATCCTTTCATAGAAATTATCTTTAAGGTTATGACATAATGTAAATTTCAGCCTTTCATCCACATATTTTCCCATTGTTCCATTTGTTTATTGTAACCAAAAACGTTGGCCCATTTTATCATACATTCTTTCACTTATTCTTCTTCTGTTTCATATTGCAATAAGAGTTAATACATTTCAGCAATTACATGTTCATTTGTACATAATTCTATTTCAAATTCAGTCTTACAATGTTCAAAACAATACATTATTTTATCTTCTTTAAACCTTTCTAAGAATTGTATATAAGAGAACCATTGACAAGTGTATCCCTCTGCTACTAAATCTTCTCTTGACTTTTACATTCCCCTTGAAAAAATTCTAAAATCTCATGGTAAGTTAACCATTTATGTTTATCATTTCTTGTCTATAAAATGCTTCTTGTGCTAAGAGCCAGAGAGGCATTTTTGGACACAACCTAGATTTGTATCTATTCTACATTCTCAATATGGCACATCTAACATAATGATTTTTAAAATCTATATTAACCTTAGCTTTATCATGCCACAAATATCCATGCTTTTATGTTTGTGAACTATCAATAAAATGCATATCACCTAACATTTAATTGCTTGAAGTCAGATCATGGTACTTTATGTATATTGACAGCTCCTTCAACAAGCAACATTTAGAGTAGAAAAACTCATCAGTAAGAGGTCAATTAAATGGAGACATTTATTTTCAGTGTTTGGGTCAACCTGGCTATGCATCAGGTTCAGCTCCAAAGAACTCCACGAGACAGTACAGGTATAGTTTGATAGCGTTCACCTACAAGACAGAATCTTGCCAGACTGAATCTAAACTTCCCAAGCCAGCAAGCAAAAACTGCGAATTCCTTAGGGCGGTGCCAGTTTCATCCTCTTCACCTTCCCACGCTCTTTCTGGGGGCTAAGGAAATGCTTATCTCCCCAAGCACGGCCTTCACCAAACCATTCCATCACACTATGCCATCCATTCAGTGAGAGAGAGAGCATAGTAAGTGATGCAGTGTCAAGCTTGCTGGAAGAAATATTTTTGTGGTAATGGGAGAGGATATTAGTGTGTCTAAAATACTAAATAATGACTTGCCACAAGGCTCAGTTCTTGCACTCCCTTTTTTTAACCTATACATAGCTGACATACCTTATACAAAGTCCAGGAAGTTTGGCTATGTGGATGACTGGGCTATAGCCACCCAACATAAATCTTTTGATACAACTGAAGATGTTCTTACTACTGATTTAGAAATACTGGATAAATATTTTCATAAGTGGAGGTTACAGCCTAATCCAACTAGACAGAAGTAACATCCTTCCATCTCTGCAATAGATCAGCAGGCAGAGCGCTTAATGTAAGATTTAAGGGAAATCGACTTAATCATAACATGTATCCTAAGTATCTCGGGGTTACTATAGACAGGAAGCTTTCTTATAAAGAACATCTGATGAAGACTGCTGCCAAACTGAGAAGAAGAAATAACATCTTACACAAATTATGCAGCACTAGTTGGGGTTCAGCAACAGATACGTTGTGAGTGTCTGCACTCAGTTTGATGTACTCAGCAGCAGAGTATTGTGCCCCAGTGTGGCTTAACAGTACATACACAAGCAGGATTGATGCACAACTGCATGAGTCAATGTGTATCATCAGTGGGACAATATGATCTACTCCCACATACTGGCTGCCTGTTCTGAGTCATATACCACCCCCGGATGTAAGACGGAAAAATGCCCTCCTTCAAGAATACCGGAAGACTATTGATAGTCCCCAGCTACCAATATTGAGTGACATAATCTGCCTGGAGCGAAATAGGCTAAGATCTAGACACCCAGCCATTTCAACTGCTAAATCACTTGTGGAAGATGACTTTAATATCCACAACATGTGGAAACAGTACAGGCTAGAAAATTGCCCCCCCCCCAGTGTTGAAGCTTGTTCACCATCTCAGAGAAACAACCTGGATTCGACCAGCCCCGTGCAATATGGAAAACGTTGAACAGAATTCACACGGGCCATGGTAGATGTGCAGATGCCCTTTATAAATGGGGCAAAATAAGATTGCCGAATTGTGATTGTGGAGCTGAAAAATGAACTATCCAACATATAGTGACAGAGTGCCAAAACAGAGTGTCAGAACAACTGTTGTTGTTTTCCATTGTATTGCATTCGTTGGGAGTTGGATTGATTTGTTTCTGCCACTGGTAACTAAGGAGGGGGTGGTGGCTGT